TAAACAAATAAATATATAAATACATAAATATATATAAATTTATAAATGAATATATGAATAATTACTGTATATATAAAATAATAATACAGTATATGTGGCATGGACAGACGGAATCAGTCATTTGTCGGGAAAAATCAATTTTGAGATAATAGCATATGAAGAAAAAACGAAGTCTAAGCTTTATAATGGTGAAAAAATCATTCAAATCTGACTTCTAGTTACGAAGTTATGTTAACTCAAAAAGTATGTATGTGTTGAGGCTTCTGGGAGTAGGTATTGAGATATTGGCATGTAAAGTTTACCAACCACTGATAAGCGCGCGACGGCCTACTTTACCCGAAATGGGTAAATATTTACCCTAGCAACGGGGGGTTATAATTATGCTGTTATAATAAAAATTGGTACGAACAATGCTCATATATTTTTCTAATACCATGCAAAATTTTATTTGAATCTGACTATGTCTTCAATAGTTAAACTTACTCTCAATGTTTGTAAGAATTTTGTTAGATTTAGCGAAAATCACACCTTACAATTGGTAATGTAATCATTAACTATGGCTTACAGAGCTGGTTGAGAGTCATCAAATATTCGTAAAATGTGGTCTATACTCCATGTCTGTATTATTGTATATTACTCTGGAATGAATGTTGTAAAATCTATCGTTTTTATTAGCTATTATCAGTAAAATATCTTGCACAAAACGTCTCAAACTTCCTTGTAGAAAGGTAGGTAATTATTCTTGTGAAGTACTGTATTTTTGAGTGCAACATCTTTCAATTGCTTATGTAATTTATAAAGCAGCCCACTTACAATGAATACATTTGTTTATTTCAATGTTCTCTATAGATTGTTATTTTCCGACTGGATGAGTTGGAATATACAGTATTTAGAAATTCTGAGTTTGTTATTTATTTTGTGTGTAATTCTGATTGTAATTAATGTGTTTATGGAGATTACGAATCACGATGCCTAATATTGTCATACAGTATTTTCATGTTTTATTTGATTGCAGCAAAATAATGAAAATCAAAATCAAAAAGAAAGACATTTTATAGCACATTGTAAAACATTTTTCAGAATTTTATTAATAAAACTCATGATTCAATAACGAGAGATGTTGTACATGTACATTACAATCAGTGCCATCTGAGAGTTGCACCATCATTTAGGTAAGAATTTTAATATTTTTCATATTTTTCATTTTATTTTTATGTTATATAGTAGACAATTTCATGGAGAAACAAAAGAAAACGCTTAAATATTACCAGATTTAATCAATAATAGAAATGCTATATTAAAAAGATTTGATCGATACAACCAACTAGCTTTCCGTCTGCAATTTAAAGGGCTTCGGACCTTCAGAATATTCTGTAATTCTGGCTGCATTAATATTAAAAAGATTTGATCGATACAACCAACTAGCTTTCCGTCTGCAATTTAAAGGGCTTCGGACCTTCAGAATATTCTGTAATTCTGGCTGCATTAAAATCTTTTTTTTTTTTTTTTTTTGAACCAACAATCTATTAAGATTGCTCATCTATTTCTTTGCCTTTCACAATCTGTTTTTTATTAGGTGTCTCGGCCACAAGAGGAAAATCGTGTTTGTTTTTTTGCTCATCACTTGCTGTAGAAATGTGACTTATTTCTTTGCCTTCCCTCTCAGTTTTTTCTTAGGTGGCTAAGCTAGAGCAGGAACATCGTCATCGCTGACCTCATCATCCAAAGACGCATCAGGCTCAGGACACACCAAATCCTGAATTTCAGGACGAACGTACGGACGTATAAAACGGTTGAGGTATATTTGGCGCTTCATGCTCAAACCCGGTGGTGTCATAATATCAGGAAGTACATTGTCAACAATGTTGACACGTTTCTTCTTCTGTCTGAAGATGCAAATTTCCTGCTCTGGTGAAGACGCAAATTCTCTCACAGAAATAATGCCAGGCTTCTCTGCGTTAAAGCGGAAATGATGATATCTTCCTACATCAGGAACTTCTCTAAACCACTGGCTTAGGAAATCATTCCAGGCATAATGCTTTACTGCAACATTTGAACCATCTTCTTCGGCCACAATCTGAGCTATGTTCATCGCACTAGAAGAATTGACGACAGCAGCAATATCTGCGATGCACTCAACTTTAGTCAGTTTTAGCCTCTGCTTAATTTGCCCAAAGGCACCATCTGGCAAGAATTTCGTATGCCCTGTCAGCATGAAGTTTAGAGTTATCTCTTTGTGTCGGCCAGTCATAACACGCCACATCAAATAGGCCATCAGTGCTGGTTTTTGTTCTGTGCACAACAGTTGTCACAATGAAAATTGGCTATAGTTTCCCCGATGCCCCATCTCTCCAGAAAGTGGTGAATCAGGTTAACAACAAACTCAGACCCTTTCTTTATAATCTGAGCCTCGTCTACAAGATAATTGACCTATAAAATAATAATGAAAACAAACTGTCAAATACAAGTATTGTAAACACAACAAAGTAACAGTACATTTTTTGGCTTAATGAGTGAACATAAAGATAATGCACACTAAATCAATCACATACCTGCTTGGTCAATCCAGTGCAACACATGCCAAATATCTGGCATTTCCGAGGCGTCAGAAAGTATATTGGACCGGCCTGCATGGGGTCCGACGGGAACATAATCTGCTGGGCAAAGTCGAAACCATAATGCGCCATTCCATTAAAAGACATTGGTGCATGGCATCCAAGTGATGTTCCTTTCAGTTGCTCCTGAAGATAAAACAAAAACATATAATAATATCTATTTACTCATTTCCTGGGTAGGTTTATTCTAATGTATATAGTCTATTAATATAGTGTAGATGTTAAGTGATATCTGTTGTACTGTCTTCAATGTATTCTAATGTATTTTTATGCATGCAAAATCTTTTTAAATTAAAAAATTAAATTACATAACATCATGTAAATAACAAAGATCTTAGTACCTTCGACTCTACTATCATTTCATTATAAACTCTCCTCTGCTCCATCGCCAGTTCGAGGTGGTATTGAGCTGTTCTTATCAATTCAGCTTTCTGTATTAGAGCAACACCACTACTTCGCATAATGCTGGTTGTGTTGACTTGACAAGTCCTGCATAAGTCCGATCTTGGCTTTGCTATTACAATGTTTGGGAACAGTTCTTTCCAGTAGCGGCAGAAGGTTTTGTAGCTAACTTCTGGGGCATCAGGTTCTGAAAAATAAAAATTTTAAAAATTTTAAAATCAAACATGAAAATTTACTACAAATTTACTACAGATATAAAAATGTCACAGGTTTTAGACAGATATTTTTAAATGTAAAAACAACTTACTAAAAGCCTTTCTGGCAGCGTTGAACTTTGTACAAACGTGGATTTTCGTCTCACTGCTAGACAACAGAACAGTGTCTGCGTCTGTTTTTCTTAGGCCCGGAATACGGCCTGGTAGCACAAGACCATGTTCACTGGCATACCGTTTTATGAAGGCAGCAAAATGCAACACTCCCTTGAAATCCAGGGCCTTCCTGCAGTTCTTGGCGCCTGTTAAGTATTTTGTGATTTCGGAGAACCCATCTTCCTGATAGTGTTTCTTTACATTTTGATAGTTTATCTTGACTGATGCTGAAAAAGAAATGTCATGGTGATTATTGTTATTATTTAAGAATAAGCTTGTTGAATGATTAAGTATTATTCACATTGTATAAAATGTATTTTTTAATTTTTTGTTGAATTTTTTTTAGAAAGTACTTGTAATTTTCATGTCATGTCAAACTAAACATTTTCAATATCTTCAATCACTGAAACCAGATGAATAATGTGTGTATTAAATATTTCACTTTGAATATTTCACTATTTCAACTACAAAATAAAAATCAATTTTAAAATGTACTTACGCATACATAAATTTGAATGTATCTCTACAGATGGACTGATCCTTGTATCTGTAAGTTATTCTTGCCCTCTCCCTTTTTGACTGTTTGTGTCTCTTCCTTTCTGTCATGACAGAATCATTAATACCACTCTGTACAGCTGTCATTATTATCCAATCTTTAACACCTTTTAAGAAAAAAACAATATAGTTAAGAAAATGAGAATGATTCCCATGGCAACGCGTGGCTATGTAGAACTTAGAAGCATCACCATGCGTGTTTGTTTTTTTTAGAGCGTGTTCACTGTTCTTTCGAGTTTCTTTATTCACATGTACAGTTCTATGAATTCCTTTTAAACCGATTATTTTATAAAATAATACGTTACGTGAATTAATTCATTATTAATTCAGATTAATTCATTATAGTTTATAAGATAGAATAAAAATAAATATATAAAAATAAATATATTAATAAATATATTAATATATATATAAATATATATATATATATATTTATAAACATATATATATAAATATAATATATATAAATACATAAATAAATATATAAGAAAAATATGAACTTATTAAAAAAAAAATATATATATATATAAATATACAAATAAATATACAAACAATATATAAAAAAAATTA